GGTTTTAATCAGCAGGCAGGTATTGATTTCTCTGAAACTTTTAGTCATGTAGTAAAACCCACCACTGTTCGTATTGTACTTACTCTTGCTATTTTCTTTGGGTGGATTATACGACAACTTGATGTTAAAAATGCCTTCTTACATGGTCATCTGACAGAAGAAGTTTATATGCGTCAGCCCCGTGGTTTTATTCACCCTCAATTTCCTAATCATATATGTTGTCTGGGCAAGGCCATTTATGGCCTTAAGCAAGCTCCACGGGCCTGGTTTCATAGATTTAGTAGCTTCCTTCTGCAGCATCATTTTTCCTGTAGTAAATCTGACAATTCTTTGTTCATTTACCGCCAGAATAATACCATTATTTATTTATTATTATATGTGGATGATATTATTATTAATGGCAATTCTGAGTCATCTGTTACCCAATTTATTTCGATTATCTCTAATCATTTTGCTATGAAAGACTTGGGTAATCTCCATTATTTTCTGGGTGTCGAGGCCATTCGTTCAGCCAAATGTATGTTTCTCTCTCAACATAAATATGTTACTGATCTTCTAGCCCGTTTCCATCTCCATACCGTAAAGCATGTTCGCACCCCGTTAGCTTCCCGTACCACTTTGTCTCTTTCTGATGGTGAGTTACTGTCTGATTCTATTGAGTATCGCAGCATGGTTGGTGCATTACAATATTTAACTTTGACACGGCCAGATATTACTTATGCAGTACACTCATCTTTTTGCAGTACACGGCTAGATATTACTTATCGCAGCATGGTTGGTGCATTTTACTTAGTGTCTCAGTTCATGCATGCTCCTCGTACCACTCATCTTTTTGCAGTCAAAAGAATTTTCAGGTACTTGCATGGAACATGAGATCATGGGCTATGGCTTCAGCAGTCTAATCGGCCAACCTGTGTAGTTGCTTACTCCGATGCTGATTGGGCAGGTTGTCCTGATAGTTCTCGGTCCACCACGGGTTTTGCTGTCTTTTTGGGTCCGAATTTGATTTCTTGGAAGACTAAGAAGTAGCCTACTGTGTCGAAGTCCTCCACAGAAGCAGAATATCGTGTCATTGCTTACACAGTACAAGACACACTGCATAACTGGTCGGTATTGTTCGAACTTGGATGGCCAATCACAGAGCCGATACATTTATTGTGTGATAGTATCTCTGCTTCTTATTTGACTGCAAATCCGGTTCAGCATGCCCGCAGTAAACATATCTAGATTGATTATCATTTTGTTCGCGAACGGGTTGCTCATTGAGATATGATTGTTAAGCACGTTCCTACTCATCTACAGCTGGCAGATACTTTTACTAAAAGTCTCTCTAGTCAACGTTTTCATTTTTTAAAAGACAACCTGCGCGTTGTATCTCCCGCACAAGTTGAGAGGGTGTAATGAATTATTAGAGGCTTAGTATTGTACTTTACATTAAACTCTCTTTAATATAAATATATCTGTCAGAGCTCCTCAGGGAGTAACATTTTCCATTATTTTCACGATTTGTAGGTTGTTGTTGCCAAGTCTTGGTGCTAGAGGAGGGAAATCGGCTTCTGTATCTCCGGGAGCCCATTGCTCTGTGCTTCCATCTTGAATATGATGAGCTCGGATTTCGTGAATGCCTGGCCGATTGGTAGCCTAGGGACGAGAAGTGCGGTCACAATGCCTTCCTCTTCTTGTTGTTGGTGAAGAGCTTTCGTTGTCACAGATGTTGGTGCGGCGGACGACGTCTCGTTCTAACGAGCAGATCCGCCACTGAAGATTGAGGTTCAGCCATCTCAGGGGAGATAGACCTCGTTTGTTCTCTGGCATGACAAACAGTAAACCATATTTGAGCAATGAAGTTCATAAGATAAAGATGAGAATCACTTTATTATTATACTACATATAAATTACATATTTAGGCAAAAGTAACAACACGAATATCGAATAAAAAGAAAAATCATTAATTAAAAACGTTTCTCGTAGACCGATGTGAAGCAAATCATTAATAACTGCTTCATACGCAACCTTTTTTCCACTAATAAATATGACAAACAATAAAATTGCCACATATAACAACAGTAAACTTTCTTTTGAAAGGATAAATGAAAAGAAATATTATCACATATTGAATTCATAAGTTGAGAATGATTTATTAACCGCTGATGAGAGTCTTGAAAGAATGAAGGTTTTCAAAGAGACAAAATGTTTGGCGGCCAAGAGGACTCGCGCAAGAAGATTGCAAATTTGACGTCCTCTAAAACTACTATTAGGAACTCAGATATAGCTTATTGAAATTTGGAAAGAAATGAATAATTGAGGTGAAATTTGAGAGAAACGGGCTTTAAAATAATTATATAAATTTGTTGTGTTATAATTAAATTGAATAAAAAACCTTAAAAACTAAAAAGATGTGAGGACTGGAAAGACGTGTCTTTTATTTATGCAGCAACAATTATATTGCTTTTAAAAGCTACAACCGATCTTGCTAAAAATTAATGTATATATTCTGTTTTAAACTTTTCTGTGTTTAAGACTCTTTATTTATGTTTTTAATTTTCAAATTGTCAACAAAATTAATCATTAAGCCTAATTAATTGAACTTAAGAATAAAAAAAAATACTCACACTATATATAAAGAAATAATTTTGGGCCTATTTTTTCTTTTTCTTTTTCGGGCCTAGGGTGGTCGCTGCTCTTGCCCCCCATGGCCCTGCCTCCAAATGGGAGTCGTATACGCTCAAGTTCCGATTTGTTCTTTTCACATGTGATGTTGGCGAGGAAGGAACCAAACGTAAGGGTCTCCAAATGGGAGTCGTTTCCGTGAGCTGCATCCGTCCAGATGCTGGCTGAGGCGCTGGAATCTCCCGAACTCGGCAGGGTCTCTAACCCTCAGCTTTTTCCCTTTTGATAGTTTTTGACATATTAAGATGCTTTTACCAATTGGCAACAGCCGCTCCTCTCTGGGGTTCAAGGATGCCGCCGCCCTTGCACTTTAGCATGAGATCGGAGCGGATGTTTTTTTTAGTTTTGTTATCTCTATTTTGGCTTATGGTGAAGCAAGAGTCAAGCCACACCTTGCATCATCATTATTGGAATTGGGGTTGCACTATTGCAGCGGAGGCGGCAACGATACCAAATTAAAAGTGCTTTCTCCCTACTTTTTGTCTAAGGTTTTTCATTCCGATAGACGGCTTGCGTCATTTCTTGTCCGGTGAATGATTTGGAACGTAAGTGGGCGGACAGTTGCCATCACGTTCTGCCTATCCATGATATGCTCTCTATGGGGGATGCTTCTGGATCTGTTGCTATGGATCGAATCTGGAGGTATGTGATTGATACTTTCGATTGGAAAATTGCCTAGAAATTTTTGAATCGAGCTTTGAGCATTAGAGAAGATAGATTGGCCGACCGTCCCCCTCCTGAACCGCCACCCTGGAGCGACCGAGGTGATAGGGTTTGGAAATTGATACTTTGAGAATACTGGCAGGAAAGAGTTTGGAGTATTTGTCATCTGTTTTATTTTTTATGGTCTTACTATCACGTTAAGTTTGTTTATGTTGTTCTGTTTTTTGTTGATGCCTTTAGTTTTATGTATATAATAAGGAATGACAATTCTGCTAGATATTATGTCATTAGAAGGATCTATATGGCTAGTGATTGTTGTGTCAAACCCACTTGGTGATTAGCGATTCGTATTGCTCTTTTCGGGGTGATCATCTCTGAGTCTAGTCATAGGATTCATAGTGCTAGTTGGTTAGGGATAGTTGTTGTTAGGGTTGGTCTTTGTGAGTTTGTTGTAATGATCCGAGTCTTAACGATATTAATATAAGCAGTTTGTTTTGACGATAAAAAAGATGCTTTTATTGATCGAAATTTGATGGTAGAATAAGGTAACAAGAAAAAGAAACAAAATACAAAAAAGTAACAAGAAGAAAAGAGGGAAAAGAGAGAATAAAGAGAAAATATAATAAAAGTAGTCGGGAAAATATAATAAAAAAATGATTTGGAATAGAAATACATAAAAAGGAAAATAAAACAAAAATGTGATGATGATGATGATGATGAAGACGAGCCGGTTATTAACCAATCGGTGAATGACAACAAAAGATGGGTGCTCAAAAAACCGGTAAAAATGATATTATTGTTTTTTTTGGATAAATCTTTATAACCTATTATAGTGTCTATTCTTTGTTAAGGCCAACATCCTTGAACTAGTCATGGACTCGGGTCGGGCCAGGGTCGGGCCTAGGCCCGGTCAGGCCGACGGTTTGTATCTCAGGGACCCGGGACCGGCCCGAGGGTTGGATGGGTCTGGTTCGGGCCGGGCCACCCGCCCGGGTCACGGGTCGGGCCACCCGCCGGGCCGGGCCGGGCCGGTTAACACTAATTTTTTTATATAATTTATACTTTATAGTTTTATACAAGTATTAAAAACAAACTTCAAGTGCATTTATTTGAAATGAAATAGGAACTACATTTGAAAATTAAAAGAAATATACAATATGAAATACATTTTGTAAATTGTAATCAATCGGAACTTCTCGCACCTCCCGATCCTTTGGCTTTGTCACATGACTTAATATGCTTCATTGTCATCCCGTATCCGCCTGAAACCCCCATGCTACATTTTTTCTCGCACCATTTGCAAGTTGTGTACCACATCCCGGTCCTCGGGTCCTTCTGCTTATCAAAATTATACCGTATAACGGCATATTGACTTTACATCTTAAAAATGGTAGATATAATAATTCTACAATAGATGGAGATGAAGATAGAGAATGGAGATTAGAGATTGGATGTTGGAGAAGATGTGTATAAAAATGTTAGAAAATAAGAGTATTTATAGAATTTTTTGTACCCCCACCCCCAGGCCCCCACCCACCCCCAACGGCTCTATGCCTCTATTGATTCAAATTTCAAACAACCAAACTACCAAAGTGGCTATATAGCCGTTTGGGGCTTTTGATTTCAATTTTTTTGTATGTTTTAGTTTCAATAAATTACATAATGTAAAATTAATTAATTAATTTTATGAATTCAGTAAAAAAAATGCTACATATAAAAAAATGAACGTATATTTATTTGAAATATGACCTACAAGTTTACAAGTTACAATTGAGAATTGAAGGTAAAATTAAAACATGAAATACTAATCAATCATTCAATCGGAATCTCCGACATAGGTAGAGCCACCCTCGATTGTAGATTCATCATTCATCTATTAAATGTTGGGATGGGGTGATGTCAATTTCTTGAGCTCTACGGGCCGCTTTCAACCAATCGTGGTAGCATATAAGCATCTCAAGAGATTCTGCGCTCAACCTCGTTCTACATTGCGTTAGGACATTGTCGGCCGAACTAAATTCTTGTTCCACGGCAACTGTTGAAATCGGCATTGATAGCACTTGCTTAGCCATCTTTGTTAAAACCGGGAACATTCTTTCTTTTCCCTTCCACCAGTTTAGTACGTCAAAATCATCTTCTTCTTCAAAATCAACATCATATGTTAAATACAAAATTTTGTGTACAACCTATTTTTTTTACTAACAATGATATTAATACACTTTAACTTTAACTATAATGAGAATTACAACTAGTTTTTTGTACAACCTTTTTTTTTACTAACAATCAAATTATTATAGTTTAACTTTAACTATTATGATTTATGAGAATTAACTAATTTTTTTTTCAAGTAACGTTAATACAAAATTAAACAAGTGTAAATCATAGAATGATTTCGTACCTCTTTCGGACTTTCGGTCTTTCGGATGGGAGTAGTAGAATGACTTTAAATTAATTAGATATAATTCCAACTATATTAATAGATATAATAATTGTATAAGTAATATATAATTAGATAAGAAATATAAGTAATATAATATTATAATGTATGTATTTATAAATTATAAGTAGATAATTAATATAATATAAGTAAATATATAAATATAATATATTGGAGAATAAGAGAATTAGAGAGTAGAGAGTTAAGAATAGGATTTAGGAAGAATTGGAGAAGAGATATGAAAAAATGTTTTAGATTAGGAGTATTTATAGGTTTTTTTACCCCCCCCCCCCCCCTCCAAACCCCCCGGACCCCCCTGCAACCCACCCAACGGCTATATAGCCGTTTGGGTTGTCCCCAGCCCACCCCCCCAACGGCTAGTTTGGCCCAAAAGTCCAAAACAAAACAAAAAATAAAATTGTGACCGTTGGACCCGGACCCGGGCCCGACCCGGCCGGGTCAACTATTTCCGGAACCAAGCCCACCCCGCCCATCCCCCCCCCCCCCCCCCCCCCCCCGGTTCAATTCTACACCCGGTCCCGAACCGCCAGACCGAGCTGGTCCCGGGCCCGCACAGTAGCGGGCCGGGCCAGGTCACGGGCCGGGTGGCCCGAACCGAATCCACCCCTACCTTGAACTGGAATGAGATTCGAAATTGATACCTCCTTGGAAGTGTCACAGTGATGCCATCGGACCACAAGGTACTTGCCAAAATAATATTATTGTTGTCAATCTTTTCATAATTAAATTGAAAATAAGTTTTGTATACAGAATATAAATGATAAAAATGAAAGAATTGGAGAGTTGGTGAAGAAAAAAGGGGAAAGTGAGATATTTATAGATTTTTTTACCTCTGGCCCCTCCAACCCCGGGTTCCAACGTTCCTGAGAGTTGTTGGAGGAGGCTCCAATGCCTCCAAACGACTATTTTAGGAAGGCCAATAGGGATGGACCGGTTCCGGTTCGGGCCCAGTTCGGGCCTGGGCCCGTCCGGGCCTCAGTTCACTAATGGGAGGCCCGGAACCGGCCCGGGTAACCCCCGGGTCCGGGCCGGGCCGGGCCGAGCCTCGGTTCTAATTTTTTTTTGGCTTTTCCTAGTTAACCCCCAACCCTCCCCTCACCCCCAAACCAACCCTAACCACCTCAAATGGCCCAAAATACACAGCTCAACCCAAAAACTTAAAAAAAAATCACAATAAATTGGCCCGGACCGGGCCCGAACCGGCCGGGCCGGTTCACCTTTTGAAGGGCCCGAGCCTGGACCGCCATCCCACCGGGCCGGGTGGCCCGAACCGGCCAACCAACCGGTTCACCGGGCCGGTCCAGGCCCGCACAGTAGCAGGTCGGTCCGGTTCCCTAGAGGCCAATAAGGAAAAACGAAAAAACATGTAGTCATTAGGGACCGGCGCCCGTTATTCAAACTTCGGACCAGTGCCAGTGAAGCACGGGCCCAGCACCGGTCCTATACCCTGAACCGCCTATTCGGTTCCGGACCTCTAGTCTGGTCCCGTGAGCCGGCCGGTTATGTTCCCGACCAGTCCGGAACTGTGAACCAGGTCCATGCTTACTTTTAAGTAAAACTGTGAGGGGTGCTGAAACTAATATACCGGGTGCAAAATGTTCTAGACAAGATTTATGAAACATGCGACCCTTTGAAACCTGAATTCAACAATAGCAGCTCTGCACAAGGGTAGAAGTAATGAATCGACTACTGAAGAATTCAGAATAAGTAAGCTCTTGTACAGTTGTACTACAGAAAAGAATTCAGAAAAATAATCTCTTGTACTACAGAAAAATTTGTCAAAACTCAAAAGGGTTGAAGTGACAAAGAAAGCCACATCTGGCAGACTGGAACTAGGATACAACCCTTGATTGCATTTATTCTACATTATATTCAAACCACAAAGGTCATCTGATTGCAGCAGGATCATCTTCAAAACCAATTCGATATATGGAATAGGCAAGACTTGTGATCTGCGTTTTCAAGGAGCAGCAGCAATAGTTCCCTGCTTTGCCTTGAGGACAAGCTCTTCCGTCGTAGTCCCAATAATCTCATTCGCCCGCTTCAGACCTACGAAGTAGTATCTTCCAATTGTATCCTAAATAAATTCATCATATACTCGAGTCAAACACTATATATAGGACTATAGGAGTGATCTTCTGTGAGGTGGTCTAACAGTGAGACAAACCTTACATGTACTACGTAGTACTACCTCCGTTCCTATTTTATCTTCCAACCCACTTTGGCACACAATTTAAGAAAAGTGAGTATTGTGTGGTGGAGAGTTGTGCAGAGGAGAGAGAAATGTGTAAGAAATGTTGTGAACCACAAATTCTTTACCAAAAAAAGAAAGTGGAAATTTAATTGGAACAGATGAAAAAGGAAAGTTGGAAGTTTATTTAGGAACGGAGGGAGTAATATTTAAATTTTGGAAGTGATACTTCTCAAAATTATAAGGTATGTGTGGGTGTTGCTTCCAACTTTTGAAGTACTATAATTTGGCTATATCTGTGAGACCATTTCACACAAATACAGACCTATACTAGATAACAACGCTTTAAATAGGATGGCACAACTAACAAGAACAGATTAATAAGTCAAGAGGAAAGTTCATTAGGTTGAAGGGAATAATCTAGGCAAAAGGGCGAACCTAGAGCTGAAGCTCCCACCCACACACAATCAGGGGAGGGGGTCTGAGGAGGGAATATTGGAATAATCTAACCGTATTTCCCTTGCTTGTTTTTAGCAAGGAAATGAATTTAGCACTGGACGTCTAGGACACAGGTACAAGCAAAATTGAATCATGAGAAATTTTCTTATTGGGTCTACGGTCCTTTTCTTTCCATCATTTGCAATGGAGCCAAAGATTCACTATTTTTTTACTTAGGAATATGATGAAATAAAGCAAAATGGCTCACTAAATTGTCTGCACTTCTTTGTTATGAAGCAACAGTCAATTCATACAATTTTCGACGCGATTTTCACCATGGGTCATCCGGGAACAATCTCTTTGTGCTTTAGTACATAGGTAACGCTGCGTACATCCGACCCCCCCCCCCTTACCGTACCTTAGATGGTAGCCTTTGCGGCACTGGGGTAATGATGATGGTCTAAGGTCCTTTTCATTCATATTGGATGCCTATATCCAGTCGGATGCGAGAAAGAATAAAATTACCCGCGTAACAATGCCCAACTTCTCTAACTTTTTCACTGCATCATCAACATCAAAGTTGCAGCTTACATGAAATTCTTCCTGTATCAGTTCCTCACATCGCAGGTCAAGATCCTGCACAATAAAGCATCAGACTTTCAGTAAATATTGGATTAGACTTTCAGTAAAGCATCAGACCTTAGAACAATTACTGCAATTGGTTTATATGAACAACACATGAAGTAACTTAGAGCTGATTCACCAACTTTGGCTTAAATATCAATTGTACAGGCCACACCCTATCCATAGTCATTGGGGGTATTTAACAGCCTCACCCCCTATATCTCAACTTAGAGCTCACTAGAGAAATTAAATACACAAAGTATATTAATTTAAAGCTAGCTCGTCAACATGTAAATAGAACTATGGAAAACACATGTAAATAGAGTGGTTTGAGGACTTGTAGATTCCATTTTTAGAATTTAAGGAGAGATTATATTATTATACAACATCAGGTAAGGGGAAAAGAAGGCACCTGCAAGGTCGCCTTCCCCTGCTCCATCAATATGAAGAATGCGACTATGACCTCCTTTACCTGTACATTTCAAATGTGATTTCTTGAAGGCTTTGCTTAAAACATTAAAAGTCTCACGGAAAGAAAGTAGGGAACATGGAAAATATAGAAATATTGGAAGATTAAAACAAATAAAATAGCTTCGCACTTGATAAATTGATCTTCTTTACTTTTGTAACCATAACATCTTTATTTATTTCTATTAACTTAAGACTCAAAATAGGAACATGTATTAGAAAAACTATAACCACATTTTATTTGATTCAACACTATCATGGTAAAACAAAACAAAAATAATTGTCCCTGGCTTTTCTTTTCTTTTGCAAAATTTTGGGGTTTCAAGCATAGCCTACGGCACTAGTGGTGTATATTGTCCAACTTTTTAGGAAATATTTAAGACCATGGAATAATCATAAAAATAAAGTGACTGTGCTTGCTACATAAGACTAACTCTCCTTGAAAAATAGGACTTTGCCTCTTTTCCTACGCCTAAAATCTTTTAATCTTCTCTGACTTTGGGCCAGATTTTATTTTTTGAAGATTAAACATAGCCCTTACGGCGTCGATTAAGGAATAAAAAGTTATAAAAAACAAAGATATTAGGATGCAACACAAATACATTGAGGAGATATGCAAAAAATACAAACTCCTTCATTTTGGTTTACAAACTTTCTACCTTTACTTTCTTAGCATGACCCAAAATTAATTAAGCTGTTGAACAAGTACAAACCAATTGTTGGTTAGCAAACTAGTTGCAATCTAAAATGGAAAAAAATGGGGGGAATGTAGCAGTTCAGTGCAGTATCATACTTCTTGCTGAATTACGTCATCACACAAGTGGAGTAAAGTACCCCTTCCACTATCTAATTGTTTGTCATACATCGACTGAGTAATCAGGTTCTGGTATGTAGCCATGTTTTGCTGGAATCTGTATATATAGTTATAAAAATATCTACCACACCGTCAAAAATTTCAATGATATGGATAGGGTAGCAAGTAATTGGTGAACAAAATGTATGAAATTTTAGAGTGTTGTTCTCGGGAAGCTAAAGACCTACTTTTGCAAGGTTAGAGAGCTGAAAATAAGAACTTTTGAATGGTAAAAGAATTAATTCAAAGGATAACAAGCAGCAAGCTAAAGGATGGTAAAATCAGCGTAGGAGAGTCTCTACTGTCCTGAAGAATGACTAATGGTTCAAAAAACACTCGTCTGGTCAGGAAAACCAAGGAATTTGATAAGGACATCACTAGTCAGCTTAATAAGGATAGATTTTATGGGCAGGTCTATTCTAGAAAGTCAAAATAGACTAGTTAGTTATTAGTCTTGGCCGGTTATAACTAATAACTACCTTCTATTTTAGAAGGCTATAAATAGAATAAAGCTGCTGTAGGAGGGCAGGCTGTTTAGACTTTGAGTCTGGGACTGGGAAGTTGGAGTATTATATCCTTCTTTGGGACTCTGTACACGGTTTACCATTTAATGAAAGTTTACTGTTTCTGGAGTTTTGCATTCAATTTTACTGTGATTGTTCTATTGCTGTGAAGTTCTTATCATTGGTATCAGAGCGCGTCGATCGCTGGATGATACACACGAGCGTGAAGATGGAAGGAAGAGTCAATGAGGTTGGGAGGACTTTGACTGATGTCGGAAGAAATCAACGTGATTCGCAAGCCCGTATGGAGAATATAGCCGCTAATGTAGCAGCGATGCAAACAGCGATGCAAGCTAGCATTGCGGAATTGCAGGTCAAGATCAACGAGCGATCGAGGAGCCATTCGCATCGATCAAACCAATCGCATCGAACAGCTCATCGCAGAACTTCGAGGAATGAGGATAGTTCGGATGGTTTGGACAATCATTCCAATCAATCAGCATCGCGACATGACCATGAGCAGCGGAGGAATCATAGACATCATAAAAATATGGGACGGAAAATTGTTTTGCCAATTTTCAATGGAAAGGATGCTTGCGGATGGTTACTGAGGATGAATCGATATTTTCGATTGAATAGAACGGAGGAAGAGGAGAAAATTGATGTTGCGGTCATCGCCATGGAAGATCAGGCTCTAAGCTGGTTCCAGTTGTGGGAAGGACAAGCACAACATCAGACTTGGGACGCATTCACAAAGGCTTTGACCAGACGCTTCCAGCCTGAGTTGGTACAGGATCCGTTGGGGCCTTTGTTCAGTTTGAAACAGAAAGGTTCTATTGCTGAGTATAGAAACCAATTGGAAACAGCTATTGCATCACATGGACATTTGACTGAGGAAGTGTTGAAGGGAGTTTTTCTTAAAGGTCCGAAGAGGGATATAAGAGCTGAGTTGAAACTATATTCCACCAGAACTTTAGCTGAAGTTATGGATAAAGCTACACTTATTGAGAACAAAAATAATGAAGCTGTAGTTGTGAGGAATAAAGAGGAAGGTAAGAAGAAAGGTGGCAACTGACAACAATAACAACCCTGAAATGAAGGAGGCGAATGTGAAGAGGCATGGACCTAGATTATCTCAGGAAGAATTGATGGAGAGAAGTAAGAAGGGCTTATGTTTTAAATGTGGTGAAAATTGGGGAAGGGGACATGTGTGTAAGATGAAAAACTTCAAGATGATTTTGGTTGAGAATTTTGAAGGGGAAGAAAATTCTGAGGGGGAAGCTGGGGAAGCAGAAGAGGAGATATCCGTCTCTGCCAGTCAGATGGATAACAAGAGTATGCAGCTTTCTATTTTGAGTAAGGAGGGCATACCTTCAATGACTACTTTTAAGGTGAAAGGAAGGATGAAATGGCTAGGAGGAGAGTTGGGGGTAACTATTCTAATAGACAGTGGAGCAACACACAATTTCATGTCAAGGACATTAGTGGAAAGGTGGAATATTCCTTATAGTCCAATCAAGGGATATAAGGTTCAAATTGGCAATGGTGAGTGTATACCTAATTTGGGCAGATGCTCTTTGGTGGATTTGGAGGTGCAAGTAGTTAAAATTCAACAAACTTATTATATGTTGGATTTGGGAGGAATTGATATCGTGTTGGGGATGGAATGGCTGACTGAATTGGGGAACATGGAGGTGAATTTTAAGCATCAAATCCTTAAGTAGAAGCAGAAAGGGGAAATCTGCACTATAAAAGGAAATCCTGCTGCAAATCAGATGGAGGTAACTATGAAGACTATGGCTCACATACTACATCAAGTTGGAGATGGTTTTTTGTTATACTGTGAAGGGAAATCAGAGATGCAGGTACAGAAGGCAGATATGGGGGAAAATTGGGGTGAATTGATAGCAGATTTTCCAGAAGTTTTCACATCCACACTCAAATTTCCACCTGCAAGAAAGTGTGATCATGCCATTAATATTAAGGAAGGAGCAGATATACCAATTCTCAGGCCATACAGGTATTCATTTGATCAGAAAAATGAAATAGAAAAGATTATTGAGGAAATGTTGAAATCTGGTATCATTAAGAACAGTAACAGTCCCTATAGTAGTCCCACTTTATTGGCCAAGAAGAAGGAAGTGGGTTGGAGGTTTTGTGGAGACTATAGGGCTTTAAATAAGGTTACTGTACCTGATAAGTTTCCTATTCCAGTCATAGAGAAATTCTTGGATGAGCTTGGGGGAGCCAGAATTTTTTCAAAGTTAGATCTAAAGTCAGGTTATCATCAAATCAGGATGAAAGCCTGTGATACTCATAAGACAGCCTTTAGGACCCATGAGGGTCATTATGAGTACTTAGTCATGCCTTTTGGGCTGACTAATGCCCCATCAACCTTCCGGGCCCTAATGAATGAGGTGTTGAGGCCTTTTTTGAGGAGATTTGCTCTTGTGTTCTTTGATGATATCTTAGTTTACAGTAAGACTAAGGAGGATCATAAGGAACATTTAAGATTGGTATTGGGGGCATTAAAGAAGAATCAGTTGGTGGCAAATTTAAAAAAATGTTCTTTTGGCCGAGAGCAGTTGAGTTACCTTGGACATATCATCTCTGCTGATGGTGTAGCCTGATGGTGTAGCAGCTGATCCAGAAAAAATCTTGGCTATGAAAAATTGAGCTTAACCTAAAGACCTGAAGGGGATTCCTAGGTCTAACTGGGTATTACAGGAGGTTTGTGAAAGGTTATAGCAGAATTGCTGCACCCCTCACAGTACTACTCAAAAAAGATGGGTTTAAGTGGAATGAACTAGCTACTAAATCTTTTAATGATCTGAAGGAGGCTATGACTTCACTTCCAGTTCTGAAGGTTCCTGATTATAATAAATTATTTGTGATTGAGACTGATGCCTCTGGTAAAGGTTTGGGTGCTGTGCTTATGCAAGATGGGGGTCCCATTGCTTACATGAGTAAGGAGTTATCACCCAAATATCTTACTAAATCTGTGTATGAGAAGGAGCTAATGCCCATTGTTTTTGCCATACAAAAGTGGAGACCCCATCTTCTGGGAAGAAACTTTGAGGTTCATACTGACCAAAGAAGTTTGAAGTATCTTACTGAGCAAAAAGTTATGGGAGATGATCAACAGAAATGGATAGCAAAGCTCATGCCTCATGGGGTACAATTTTACAATTAAATATAAACCAGGAGTTGAAAATAAAGCTGCAGGTTTATTGCAGCCATTACCAATACCAGACCATGTTTGGACTGACATCAGCATGGACTTCATTGGTGGTTTACCAAAATCTCAAGGAAAGGACACTATTTTAGTAGTGGTTGACAGATTAACTAAGTTTTTCACATTTCATACCTTTGGCACATCCACTCAATGCCAAAGGAGTGGCTGAAACCTTTATCAAAGAAGTACTAAGGATACATGGGCTTCCAAAATCTATTGTCAGTGATAGAGACAGCCTATTTTTGAGTTCATTCTGGTCAGAATTTTTAAACTAGCAGGGACAAAACTCAAATTTAGCACTGCATATCACCCACAAAGTGATGGGCAGACTGAAGTGGTTAATACTTAATAGATGTCTTGAGACCTATTTGAGGTATCTTAGTGGGAGACAACCTAGACAATGGGTGAAATGGCTTCCTTGGGCTGAATACTGGTTCAACACCAACTACCACAGTTCATTGAAGAGTACTCCTTATCAGGCTTTGTTTGGACAACCACCTCCTTCTATCATCAGAGGTGATGTCAGTTTGACTTCAGTGGATGAAGTGGCCAAAATGACAGCTGAAAGGAATATACTGTTGACTGAATTGAAGGAGAACCTAGCTAGAGCTCAGAATTTGATGAAGCAACAAGCTGATAAACACAGGAGGGAGCAGAATTTTGAAGTGGGGGACAAGGTGTTCGTAAAGATACAACCTTATAAAATGAAAAGTTTGGCCAAGAAGATTAACCAAAAGCTCAGTCCAAGATTCTATGGTCCCTATGACATTGCAGAGAAGATAAGTCACGTGGCTTACAAACTCAGACTACCAGAAGGGGAGTAGAATACATCCTGTATTCCATATTTCCTTATTGAAGAAGGTGCTGAAACCTACTGTGAATTATCAAAGCCTCCCAGATTGTCTCACAGAAGATTGTGAGTTACAAGTGAGTCCTGAAGTGGTGAGAGGCTGCAGGATAAATCAGGAAGGGAAGAAGGAGGTCCTTGTACATTGGAAGGATCTTCCTGATTTTGAAGACTCATGGGAGGAAACTGAAATGCTCCAAAATCAATTCCCGGACTTGCAACTTGAGGGCAAGTTGGTAGTGCAAGAGGGGGTATTGATAAGGACATCACTAGTCAGCTTAATAAGGATAGATTTTATGGGCAGGTCTATTCTAGAAAGTCAAAGTAGACTAATTAGTTATTAGTCTTGGCCGGTTATAACTAATAACTACCTTCTATTTTAGAAGGCTATAAATAGAATAAAGCTGCTAAAGGAGGGCAGGCTGTTTAGACTTTGAGTCTGGGACTGGGAAGTTGGAGTATTATCTCCTTCTTTGGGACTCTGTACACGGTTTACCATTTAATGGAAGTTTACTGTTTCTGGAGTTTTGCATTCAATTTTACTGGGATTGTTCTATTGCTGTGAAGTTCTTATCAGAATTGGACTCTATTGTATGAACTATGAAGAGAAAATGTTTACTACATCATTTTAAAGAGGTTTATAAATAAAACTTAGTTTGAGAGATTGGTTTAAAAAGTTCAATCCACAAAGACTTAATCTAATGGTGTTTTCTATTATTCTAGAAGACTGTAATCGATGATTGTTTTATGTGTTGATACATGCAATCACTCAACAAATTGATTAGCTTTGTTACTTATAAACATCAAATACTATCATTAGCACGAGTCGGATAACAATATCTAGAACTCAGTTATTAAAACCAGAGTTCTGATAAGTGAGGGGGGGGGGGGGGGGGGAGAGGTAAGGATACCTAAATAAAAAGAAGAGGGGAGGTGTGTTTTATTTGTAGGCAGGATACATCTATTTACGTTTAAATGATAGATGTAGATCTACAACTTGGTAGAGTAAGAATCTAAACCTAGCAGGAGTAAACAATAGAAAATTAGACACGAGGTATAAAGAGTCTAAAACCTACGCCAAACCATGAGGTGGCAAACGCGTGCGCCTCCTGATGTCCGCAGAGGCGGCCTGTGGTGTGATGAAACGAGCTCCTGATGGAATCTGCTGCCGCCCAACATTTCTGATTCTGATTTCCCTGGGCAACTTTGAGCTCTGAGCCTAGATGCGACTCATACGCATTTTTTTAAACTAGTGGATAAAGTTTATTAATTTGATGATTTAAAAAACAAGAGCAGAAACATTGAATAAAAAGATGTTGAACTTAATAGAATTTGGCATGTCACAATTTACCTCTGCAAAAATTGCAAATTTAATACAGTGAGTGACAGCAACAAATAATAGGGAAAGCACTTAACGTGAAATATGTTTTTGCAACATATCCAATCACTGTGGAGAGAACTGCAAACAAGACCCAAAAATCAGCTTTTGGCAATTCAACAGAACCTGCAACTGCTACCTGAAACAATATCAACACCACAACACATAATATATCAAGGAGAAAAACGAGAAGTATGAAAAAGAAAATAGTACAAAAATAATGCCTGCTCTGATCTATAGTCATTAAGGATCTAACCAGTCCAACGACTGCAGAGATAAGGAATTTAACCCAATCCATTGGAGTAAGACTTGGACTCTTCTTCTCTGGCTAAAGAAAAAAAGTGGAACAAGAACTACATCAAGTGGAGAATGATGGTAACTGTTAAAATATAGAGTATACGCTAGAATAACAATGAAGCAAGAAGGATTTTCTGTGTCTTTATGGAAGGGTTCAAGTCCCTGTAAATATAAATTACAAAGATTCTATATCTAAGCTAGAATAACATTGAAGCAAGAAGGATTTTCTGTCTTTATGGAAGGGTTCAAGTCCCTGTAAATATAAATTACAAAGATTCTATAAGATTCTAATATTCTATACCATAATAATATCCTGGAGTATAATCCTAAAATATTCCAAATCATATTCCTAAATTTATTCTACTCCCTCTTGTACCATAAAATTCTTCCCGGTTTGACTTGGATCATAATTTAAGAAAGTGAGAATAAAGTGAAAATGTATGTTGTGATGTTCGTCTTATTCTTATTACTTACTCCCTCCGTCCCTAAATGTTCTTCCAAATTAAAGTGGCACGGTGATTAAGAAAGTGGGAATTGTGTGGTGGAGAGTTGTGCAGAGGAGAGAGAAATGCTGTGAACCACAAATTCTTTGCCAAAAAGGGAAAGTGAAGTTTTTTTTGGGACGGACGAAAAGGGAAAGTTGGATATAAATTTAGGGACGGAGGGAGTATTACTTATTACTTATTACTTATTTTATTCAGATTAGATCAGATCAGAAAAATTCAAATCAAATCAGATAAAAAATATTAAGATTAGATCAGAAAAGTTCAGATATGATTTATCACTTATTAATATTATTATTGTTGTTATTACTATTAGTATTATTATTACTATACTATTAATATTATTAGAGAATATTAACTATTAGAGAATATTAACTGAAATAGGACTAAAACAGTTTGAAAATTCCAAAATAGGACTGCCATGTTTTTATTCCCAAAATAGGACTAATTACTGCCATGTTTTGGCAGTATCAGACTTCAAACATGACAATATTTTTTAAACATGGCAGTAATTAGTCCTATTTTGGGAATAAAAAAGATGACAGTCCTATTTTGGAATTTTCAAACTATTTTAGTCCTATTTCGGGAACTTTCCCATATTATTGTTGTTATTGTTGTTGTTAAGCTATTAGATCACGGATGATGGTGATGGTGGTGGTGGTGATGGTGTTGTTGGTGGTGATGGTGATGATGCTGATGATGGTGTTGGTGGTGTTGGTGGTGGTGGTGACGATGATGACAACGACGAGGACGACGATGATAATAATAATAATAATAATAATAATAAACATGCAATCAGATCATTAATATTCAAATCAAATCAGATCAGAAAGATTCAGATCAAGTCAGGAGGATTCAGATCAGATCAGAAAGATTCAAATGAAATCTTAAAAAAATTAGATCAGAAACATTCAGATCAGGCGAAGAGAAAGTTTCTGAGTAAGATAAAGTAAATGAATGTTAGCCACACAAAACTCTCCAAAAAGAGAATTAAGAATTTTTTGGGATATCCAAAAAAAGTAAGTGAGAAAAATTTTATGGGACGGAGGGAGTAATATATTTCACATTCCCCCGAAGTTGGAGCATAGATATTTATAATGCCCAACTTATTACATAAATAATGAACTTGGAACCCGTTTTGTGCTTTATAGTGAAAAAATCTCTGAGTTGTTCTCTAGTTTTCACGTATCTCGTAGGGATCAATCCCTTCTGTGTCTTCTCTCGAATAAAATGACAATAAACCACAATACTAGATTATTCACAATGTTTATAGCAGCTTGATTATCACACCACAATTTACCAGGCACTCTGTCTTCAATCCGATTTCACTCGATAAATGGTTTGTCCATATTATCTCACATGTAGATTGTGTCATAACTCAATATTTTAATTAGACGCTAGAACAAGAAACCACATTCTGCTTTTTGCTCTTCCAAGATATTAGGTTAGCACCATCAAACACATAATGGCCATACATAGATCTTCAATCATCTTTAGATCCGGCACAACCGGAATCTGCAAAGCATTCTATTCTCATGTGATCATGGTTTTGATAAACAATAACTAGTTTTGGTTCTCCCTTCAAGTAATATAATATTTATGTTGTACAGCAATCCAATGATCAATAGTCGGAGATACATATATCGACTCACTACGCTCACAGAGTAAACAGAGTAAGCAAAATCTGGACGAGTGATTGCGAGATAATTAATCTTTTCAACCAATCTTCTACGCAGTATATCTTTCTCGGTCTTCGAACGACATGCCTTCCTTGAGTGAGTTACATATTGGGAAGAGTGAGTTGCATATTGGGAACTGGGAACCATGAGAGTATTGCTCATCCTTGCTCCCAATTTCCCCGTTTCAACTCGCAAATTAAGCACATATTTACATTCAATACTCCGTGTTACCTCAATACCCAAGAAGTATTTCAATGAGCCTAAATCTTTAAACGGGAATTAGGTATGAAGAAAATTTTTAAGAGCTAAAATACCTACATTATCACTCGATGTAATCATCGACATATATCACAAACAATATAATATATGCTTTTGTTTGTCTACAAAAGACAAAGTGATCTATTTGACTTTTTATCATTCCAAATTGTTCAATTGATTGACTGAATTTCCCAAACCATACACGAGAAGTCTATTTCAGCCCATAAAGAGACTTGTGAAGTCAATAAACTTTCACATACTCCCAATAGCAACAAATTTTGGAGGTTGCTCGATATAAACTTCCTCCTTAAGTTCACAATGCAAGAATGTGTTTTTAATGATCAGTTGATGTAAATGCCAACTATGAGTTGCAGCGAATGAAATAAGTAACCTAGAAATGTCATAGAGAGCAAAGAGATCAAGGGGCGAGAACGGGCTTGGGCCCACCTCCGTGGGCTGGTTGTAGGCTAGGGTTATAGTTTTATTTATTATTATAAAGTTTATGTTATCTTTTCTAGTTTGGGCCTATTATTAGTAGAGTAGTTAGTAGGGTTGATTTGGACCTAATTAGGGTTTAATTAATTTGGGTTCGATTAGGGTTTCCGTTAAGTCTCTTACTAGAAGGCTATTTATACCCCTTGTCAGGGTTCATTCTTGCTTATCTTGTAATAAAGTTGGATTTCAGCCTTTTGGCTCTAGGCAACGGTTTATATTGTTGATTATCTGAGCAACGGATTATTCCGTTGATTTTGTTTTTCTGTTCTCATCAATTGGCCTGACCTGCCGGATCCCATCCCGTCGGAATGACGAGATCAATCACTGAACGTTTGTCGAACATGTTTTGCTGAACCAGAAACTGGACGCGCAAGGAATCCAATTGGCGGAGATCACAACCTCCTTGGCTGCGCTCACAAAGGCTCTCGCGCCTCCAGCAGAGGAGGAGCATTCATTGGCGGCGGCTCCACTCGACACGGCAACGGCATCTGCATGCAGAACTAGACTCTGCAACACCTCTCTAACGATGTTGCCCTCGTTTGATAGAGAAGACCCGATCGGCTGGGTTGCTAGGGCTGAGCAAGAGTTTGAACTGAGGGTGGCAGTCGATGTAGTTGCGATCACGGTTTAAGGGCAATCGCTTTGAACGGCTGTCTGAAGTCAACCAAAGAAGGACTGTGGAGGAGTACATCTCAATTTTTATTCAACTAACAAGTCAGGTCCCAAGGCTATCTGACAAACATTATTTGGGCCCAAATGTGAGCCGGTTTTCGGATTTCAACCTTGAGGACAAGGTTGTTTCGAAGGAGGATGGGATAGAGAGCAGAAAGATCAAGGGGCAGGAATGGATTTGGGCCCACCTCCGAGGGCTTGTTGTGGGCTAGGGTTATAATTTTATTTATTATTATAAAGTTTATGTTATGTTTTCTAGTTTGGAAGAGTAGTTAGTAGAGTTGATTTGGGCCTAGTTAAGGTTTAATTAATTTGGGCTCGATTAGGGTTTCTGTTGAGTCTCTTACTAGAAGGCAATTTATACCCTTGCGAAGGTTCATTCTTGTTTATCTTGGAATACAATTTGATTTCAGCCTTTTGGCTCTTGGCAATGATTTATATTGTTTATTATCTGGGCAACGAATTATTCCGTTGATTTTATTTTTTTGTTCTCATCAAAATGTTTAATTTTACAACAGGAGAAAAAGTGTCTGAATAGTCAACACTATAGGTTTGATCACAACCATTTGCAACTAATTGGGCTTTCAACCGAACAATAAATTCGCGTAGATTAACCTTTATAGCAAAGACCCACTAGCATCTAATAGACTTCTTCCATGTTGGCAAGTTTACCAAATCCCAAGGACCATTAAGATCCAAAGCATTCATTTCCTCTATCATGGCATATGACGTCATTCGGGATGAGACAATGCTTTTGTAATAGATTTTGAAACAGAAATACAATCAATGGAAGCAATAAAAGAACATGACGCACGAGATAAATGATTGTACGATACAAAAGAATAAACAAGATGAATACAAGACTGTGTACCTTTATGTAGTGCTATCATGAGGTCAACATATGATGTAGAGATTGGATCTAAAGAAGCAAGTATTGGGTCAAGACATGAGATCGAGGGCGGATGAGGATCAGGATAAGTAAGCATAGACGGAGTCCGATCTGATGCTTTGTGTCAGCGGGTGTAAACCAAGTGTATTGGAGGCCTAAGGTTAAGAACAGTAAATGTGGTATAGTTGGCAAAGGTGAGCACTCAAGTATAGTAATCGTGTGAATGAGTATATTATCATTATCTCGACAAATATCTTCCTTGAATGATGAAAAAAGGTGTATTTTCATTAAATGAGGCATCAACTGAAATAAGAAACAGACTTGTACTTGGACAAAAACATTTATACCCCTTTAGAACTCGAGAATAACCCAACAAAAATACATAATAATGATTTGGGATCTAACTTTGTAAGATGAGGACTAATATCTCTAATAAAAGAAGACAAGTGCAACCAAATATGTACCAACTAAAACAGAAGACAACATATGATTTATCAAAAGAAGACGGTAGACACTGCATCAGGCCAAAACTATTTAGGCACAATCACTTGGAATAAAAGAGTCATTGCAATTTCTAATAGATGTCAATTCTTTCTTCAACAACTCCATTTTGAGGAAATGTATTGGTGCATGATGTTTGATGAATAATGGCATGTTGAAGCATGAAAGACTATTGAGTTCTAATTTCAGCACAAAATGAAAAAAAATGAGTAAACAACTCAGATTGATGTTTTATAAAACGTAATCACAATATACAAGAATAATCATCAACAAAGGTAAAAAATATTTAAAACCAAATTTGGACACAACTGGACAAGCATCCCAAACATCAGAATGGACAAAGTCAAAGGGAGTATTTGCTCGCTTATTAACTTGAGGACTTAAAGTAACACAATGATGTTTTGCAAATTGACATGACTCACAAGTCTCACATTGTAAAATGACACCTTATTAAACTGAGGATATATTTGCTTTATTAGTGGGACTGTGGGAGAGATGGGTGTCAAAGTTGGTAATAAGCCTCTAACAAAGCTCGAACCCCAAGACAGGAGATACCTTTTGTGATTGATGTATCCAAAACATAAAGACCTTGACCAATAGTATGCTTCGTAAACAGATTTTGTAACACACAACATCAGGGGAAAAAGGTCACAGAACAATTAAGGGTACGGGTGATTTTACTTATGGAAAGAAAATTAAATGCAAAGTTGGGGAGACACAAATAGACAATAATGGTAATGTAGATGTTGGGACAACAATACCTGATCCGAGGACTAGTGAGGTATACCCATCAGCTAAAGTGACACTACAAGTAGGTAAATACGAACGAAATGATGAGAAAGACTAGGATTGTCGATCATAAAATATGTGACACCTAAGTCGATGACCCATTTTTTAAGATGAGAAAACAAAACACGTGTTTGAATTACCTAAATTAGCGACATCCTAGGTAGGATTAAAAGAATGCTTTAGAGATTCTTGATAGCAAAGAAATTTAGCATACTCATATGAAGAAAGAGTAATAGATCCATCACATGAACGGGTAGCGGGCGCAAATTAGATATGAGATTTTCTTAATTTTTGAACGCCAATTTCCTACATTCTTTAATCAAGTGCCTAGACTTCTTGCAGTAATTGCATATTATTGTTCTGTCAAACTGACCCCTACAAGACATCATTTTTTAGGCCAATTTGTAAAACAATGTTTTTATACTAGACAACAATCACCCAGTACATTTCATTCACAAGTAACGAGAGCAGCTCCAAAATGCAATGGGTGGTTTCCAAAATGCAAGGCTTTCAAAATCTTCTCGGCAGGTGTAAGACAATATTTTGGGATCTTTCAAACAATCTCTCAAATTACCGAGAGCATGTCAGTCACAGTCTTCGGGTATATATCATTGTTTGTAATTGCGCAATGCAATTGCGCCTCATGGCGCGCCTCAACTAATTCCTAGACTATGGCATAAAAGGCATTGCATATGGCGTTGGGAGTGTGGCGTACGCAATATTGCACTGAGGCGTATGCAATATTGCATACGCAATAAGACGCTCTGAGACGTATGCAATAGGAGAAGGTCAGGGTGTAAGAGTATTATTTGGGCCTACCCGGTCTACTTTTAAATGATTATAATTGATGTTATGATCCCTATTTCAAACCACTAGTTATTGATGGGATTTTTTCAGTCGATCAATCTAATTAATTTAAATTCTCATAACTTAGATTTTTTTGTAAACGATTCAGAAAGTTTTGGTATTCTATGGTACTTTGAAGTTTGAACATATTACTTTGCTAGGAATATGGCCTCTTATGGTTTGTTTTAATATAACATTTGAGGACGTTTGACAAATATGTTTATTTTTTATTATGTTTATGTGTGTGTGTGTATATTACGCCTCAGGCATACGCCTCGCTGCGCAATGAGGCTTACGCAATATGCAATATTTAAAAAAACGCCACAACTACGCAATATGCAATTTTGAACCTTGGTATATATAACACGTTTAACTTATAATTGAAGGGAAAGGCTTTCTCTAAGACATTGTTCCAACCCAGCAACTAAACCAAGCAAAGGCTGGAAATGTGATTGATAGTACAGTCTGACAAGGGACGGACAGCTGAAGTACAGGCAATAGTTCATGCAATAAGTAATAACACCTCAAAGTAAATATGAAAGGGACTTTCTATCAGTCCAGTAAAGGCAGGATTCTCCCTAAATGTAGTGTGTATATGAAATATTGTGGGTTCCAGGCGAATTGAAAGGGAATAACTTCAAAATCGAGAAAACCTGGAAATGAATAACACCGGAAGACACAATCTGCGTACCGGCCGTTCTGTACCCAAACGCGGTACAAAATTGATCCGGTTGCAGATGGGAACGCTAAACGGTACGGTCGACGAGTCGTCCAAATCGCTCTTCGCAAGCGCCCTTCCAATCGCTCCCAAACGCTGCGCAAAGCGATTTGAATCGTTGTTTCCCGTCGCTGCGCAGGTAGAGACATCGTTTCCCGTCGCTGCGCAGGTGGAAGCGTTTCCCGTTGTTGGCCACGTTGGCCAGATTGAAGCGCCGTTTCCCAAATTTGAAACAGGTCGGCGCTTTGCTTCGTTTCCCGTCGTTGTATTAACAAGCATACGAATTCGAACCAGACACTTCGATTTCTGATCCTAATCATCAATTTACCTTGTAAGTGTTATAAATTGAGGGGCAAAGATCTAGTTCTTACGCCACACTCAGTCTTCTTCTTCTACACCAGTCTCCCAGCTATTCTAGTACGCCAGAGCCAGGCTCTTCTTTTGTTCCAGGCTCTTCTTTTAGGCTCTTCTTTTGCTTCTTTTGTGGACCTTGTGGTACTGTTTTTCAGTTTCTGGAGTATTAATGTTTTTTATTTCTGGAATGTTAATGTTTTTTATTTTGTTTAATGTTATGACTTGTGATTATGAAATCTGTTTTTGTTTAATGTTATGACTTATGAAATCTGCAATTCAGTTTTATTATAGTACCAAAATATAAGATACAGCGTACCGAACATGTGGTACAGCAAACCGAACATGTGGTACAGCGTACTGAACGCGTACTGGAATGAACCTACTCCCATACGAATCGGACAGGCTAGATCTAGCGAACCACGTTCCCGATCCTCATTCCCATACTGAAGCGTTCCGCGAACTATGTGAATATGTAGAGAACACTCAGGCGAGTCAATGGGTGGTATCCGATGAAAACTCCGGTCAGCGACAAGACTTCTCGTGCTAGCACGTGCCACGGTACGCGTGAACTTCCAGCGGCTCGTGTGCCTCATGCACATCGATGTTCTGTTGCGGACTTCAGCAGTCTGGTCACCAGTGGAAGGAAAGGGTTGCCGGATACCAAGGTTACCGGACACCAAGGCTAAGTTTCTGGGAAATGAAAAAATTAGGGAAAAAGGGGCAAATAAGCCCACGTACTAACCAAAAAAAGTCAAATAAGCCCTTATAGGAGGCTATGTCCGGCCGTCGTCATTTGGGGCGGTTCCCGGTGGAAATTTTTTATGCAATTTTTTGAGCATATTATTCATTAAGTCTAGTTTACTCATACCAAATTTCAGCTAAAACTTCAATCGGGAAGGCATTCAAATGAATTCTTGAAGATAAATGTGCAGTTAAAAGCGCAGTTATCTTCAAGAATTTATTTGAATGTCTTCCCAATTGAATTGTTATCTGAAATTTGGTATAAGTAAACTAGACTTAATGAATAAGATTCTAAAAAAAATCATCAAAAAATTCCACAGGGAACTGCCCCAAATGGCGACGGCCGGACAGAGCCTCCTATATAAGAGCTTATTTGACCTTTTTTTGTTAGTACGTGGGCTTATTTGCCCCTTTTTCCAAAAAATTATAATATGTGTACAGAGATGTTAATCACGCTACAAGCTCTGGGCTGATGTTCTCAGATGCTCTGATATCATGTTGAGTATAGATTATAAACTAGAATAATATTGAAGAGGGGAGGACTTTATGTGTCTTTATTCAAGGGTTCAAGTCCCTATAAAAATACATTTCAAAGATAGAATAGTTCTATAAGATTCTACACGGCTAAATCATAGTAATATCTTAGATTATATTCCTAAAAGGCTAAAGTATTCCAAGCATATTCCAACATTTAATCTAATATATTTCTAGATGAGTCATGCCAAACCAAACTAGTACAATGCTACAATAAGAAAACACTTCTGAAATGCTCACGTAAAAAAGACCATAACAAAATATGCTCACCAGAACAATCTCCATGTCAGCCATGGGAATATTCTTGAAATGCTTCACAAAAATTCCCCTTTCTGGTTTTATTTTGGTACTGGCTAGTCTGTAAATTGACCATTTCAAATTATTAATCATGATATGATAAAGCACAGGTCTTTGTTTGACATGTAACGCAAGTAACTAGGGTAACACTCCTGTTCAAAATCCATGCAGCTGATTTTATAACATTAAAAACTTGTGTAAACTAGTTGTGTTGTTAAAAAAGCAGAAGGTAAATGAAGCAAGAGTTAGTACCTGTACACAACAATTATCCTATCAAAAGTTGGTTCTTGAATCGTAATTTTGCTAAGGAGATTGCATAAACTGCGTGATAAATTATAAAGTTACAAATCTCACAATGACTACTATTAGGAACTAAAAATGGAACATAGTTAGGAACATGCAACATTATTCATTTAAGTTTAGATCCATAGTCTTCAAATCTTATGTCAACTTTATATATATCACTAGGAGATATGATTTATATTACAAGAACAAAAACAAAAGTAAAAAAGTCTCACTTCATGAATCTTCCTCAAGATATGCTTAGTAAATGCATTTTAAGACAGCAGTGTGGTTGACCACAAGAAAAATTGTCAACTCTGAGAATATGCACAATGCATTTTAGTTGTTAACCATTAAAACCTGATTCCAAGATTCTCAATACGGATACGTTCAACATATAAGTCATCATCCTTTGTTCCATCAGTGATTTCATCATCTTCTTTTGGAACTTTTCTCTGCCGTCTCTTTGATCTCCTAAACAAGGCCTCTAACCTGAAATAATACATCCCCACACCCCATAAAAAGGGGGGAAAGGAGAGGAGGCATTAAGTAAGACTGTATAGAGTAGACATAACAAGATAAACGAAGTGAAAAGAGGGGGGCAAAAAAGCATGAACTGAACTTTTTCCCATAGCACCTCATTGGACTCATTTTAATTTGAATCCAGTAATACAATTAGTTAGTAGTTAAACTCAAGTCTGCAAAGCATCATGTACCTTGTTTTCTTCAAAACCCAATACCACATATGTGCAATCATCGTGTCTACTTTTTCCAAGAAAAAGTAATCAGTTGTCCTATCAATTCCGATTCCTCTCCGAAAAATTACATACTGAAATTTTGTGACAAAGATAGTCAGAAAACCTACATGAACAACTAGTCAGAAAACAACTACAAGTTCTCAGTACTTTATACTTTCCTAGCAGTTTCCTGCTATAATTTCATCAATACCTTATCAGCAAATTCAGGAAGATTTTCCATAGTATGAGCTGCAAAGTACTTCTTCAAGAGTTCTTTGTCAAGCTGCGGTCACCAAATCATATGTAAAATTGCAGATATAGTATTTACTATACAGCGAATCACTGATGCATCCTTAGAACAAAGAAATGTGAAATTAAAGGCAAATATAAACCTTAGATTCATCTACTGTGATGGGTAGATTTAGAAGATACTGCCCGGAATGTGCAATATCAATCTCCTCATCAGTAGCTATTTTAAAGTTGCTTTTATCCATTATCTGCAAAAGCAAAGAAAATGGTGAAAAGCAAATAACATGAGGGTTATATAACTTCAGGCCTTCATCCTCTGCTGTATCCAGCCAAGTACATGGAAATAAGATATCAAAGGTAGCCCCAAGTATGATACTCATTTGTTAGCTTCCTATTGTGTACATTGATATACGAAAAGGTATTCCATGAGATTCTTATTACTGAAAAATGCTAACTCGTCATTTAGCATAGAATGGTTATGTTACCTCTAAATCTCTGGCAGGTTAAAACAACAACAACCAATCCTTACTCTCTGCTATATGGAACAATAGATAATCTTCAGAGATCATCTACAATATCATTAGTTTTATATTTTTTATTGCATGCACTATGTGCTCATTAAGGTTCAACATCATTTCAGTCTACCACAAATTCACCATTCCAACATTCCACTTTCCATACTAGTACATTTACATCTAGATGTCAAATGCACCTGAATCAATGCAGTAGGTTTTTTGTAACATTAACTAATCGTAAACTTTACCTTTGTACTCTTTACCACACGTCCATCTTAACGTAACACATCTCTTTCGCTCGCTCATACTCTTCAACACATCTTTCTAAATGTCTTAAATTCTGATCCATACAATAAAGCTAATGTGATGGTTGCATTATAAAATTTTCCCATAGTGCATACACTGCACTCCTATTGTCACTCGCCATTTTAACTCACCTGCATCTTTTTCATTAGATAATTCTTTTCCTATGTCCCCTTTTACTTTATAATGCAATAATGGATACTAGATACACGAAGTAATCTCATGCTAAGTTGCTAACAAGTATCTTTGTCCTTTTATCTTTAAGGTACACCAGATACTCCACACAAGCATGCATACAAAGATGAAAGGATGATCATAGTTGAGTATGAGACAAAAAACAAAATGAATGAGAAGATTCCTTGCTTATAAGTAGTAATGTAGCGAAGTAGCAAGAACACCACAAGAGCACAATTGATTTGTCCGTAGAACCAAACCACGTATCCCTAATCGTACTAATGTTCTTAGCTAGGGTATGACCAGTGAGGGCTTAGGCCCACACTGCATTTTTGAAAGTTTTTTATAGGGCATATACGAAAATAGCCCTTTTAGTTAGAACTTAGAAGTGTAAATTTATTAGAAGATGAAGTATTAGACAAGATATAATAGGTCAAATAAAGGTGTGACATAATAGCTTTTTTCAGGGAAATTTGAAATAAAGTTGTAGGGGTATTTTATCATGTAGAAAAAGTAAACAAAGTGAATGGAAAGTAAAAGTTGTGATTGAGATTTGAGTATAATAAAGTGAAATGATGTGGATCACATATTTCTTTCCAAATGAAAACAAAAATACAAGACACTTGATTTGGGACAGTTCAAAAAGGAAATAAGATACATAAAATGAGAAGAGGGGAATCATAAAAGTAGAAAATAGAACACAATGAAGTACGAATATTTGATACATTTGTAATTACCAACGATAAAGTGGAACAAGTATTTTCTCAATACAACAAGAACAACAACATCCAAGTGTTAATCCCAAAAGAGATTGGAATCGGCTAACATGAATCGACATACGCCATTGGAGTTAAAAGTAATAAATAGAGAAAAAGGGAGACGAACAAAACCACTTCAATCGTCCATGCGTATGCTCTCCCTCCATTTCGTTCTCCAAAATCATACTCACACTTATGTCAAGACGTACCATATCATTCTTGACCACTCTAATCGATGTCTATTTTGGTCGTCCCTTACCATCTCATCCCTGCCTCCTCTCCCCACTTCTCAATCCGCCTAATAGGTGCATCACTCGGTCTCCTACACACATTTCCAAATTACCCCAATCGTTACGCTCGCACCCTATCTTCAATAGGTACTACTCTCACTTTTTGAGAGATGATCCCATTCTTTGATAATTGATAAAACAACAAATTGACTTTTACTATTAATTTTATCCTATAAAAGTGTTCTAAAAAGTATGTTAGCTTATTGGCTTATGTTGAACAAACTTTGAAATTGTACTTCCTCCGTCCGAAAATAAAATTGTAATCTCGTTGGGGATTTTGAAGTTTGATTGATATAAAGGTTAAACTTTCCTTTACAACATTGCAATTAGAAATTTAGAATTGAAATTTATAAATATCTATTTAGAAGCTAAATCTAAAGTTCAATCAAGTCACAAAAGTTGATACATAAAATTAGAGAACAAAAATGAAATGCATTAGTCAATGAATAGTAAATTAGTAATATCATTTTGCATATGACTCAATATTTGTAAAAGATTGATAGAACATGACTCAAGATGTTTTTACTTGGACTTCTTTCAGTCCCTGACCAAAATACCATACCAGACTTCGATAGTTATAAAATACACATAGACAAGCAATCTACCAAACCAGTTCAGATCGGACCAGAAAATTTCAGTCCTGTTAAAAACATCCTCATTATTTGTGAAAGATTGAGTAATGTAAAATAAACAAAATATTGAATTATATATTTGACCCGTCCTCAACATATCTTCTAGATCCGCCCCAGCTCCCTAACAAGTATATCAACATTCCAAGCCTCCAAGGATCCCGCAGTGGGATGAGGGTGTTATCCTACCTCAAATAAGTATGTCAAGAAATTTTGTTCAAGATCGTCAATTTCTGCTGAACCCAAGTTCTGCTGTTCCAGCTTTTGAGCTCCATGCACAGGATCAAATAAGGAGTAGAGTTGCTGCAGTCAAACAATAACCATGATGAAATATAAAGTAGAATGAAGCAAAAGCGCAAAACCCTGTTGTTTTGGACAGAGGAAAATACAACCACAAACCCTATTACCATGAGATCCTCAAACTGCAAGAGATACCAAGCTCGAATTGTGTATTCAACTCTTTTGCAAAGCTTCAAAAATTCAGCCCGGTCAGAAGAATGCTCTGACAAGGGAAAACAAAGAAGATACTATACATCCATGTAGAAAAAGAAATAAGTTTTGAAAAGTCAAGCGGAATAAAAAAAAACAGGAGCAGCAATAGTAGGAGTCACCAATGATATTGGCAAGATTCATGATAAGTCTGGGCTTGAGGATTGGAATTACAGACTCCCGCTCCAAACGGATCACCTCTTTATCGCTTTTCTTCCCAGTCAATGCCATTGATTCCAATTCGCGGATCCTTGTATGGATTTCTGTTTTCTTTCTGTTTGATTAATTAATCAAGTAAACAGGCAGACAAGACAGGGATGCAAGCAATATATTCTCGCATATACAGCGTGTCCCCACAACATGGATCCAGAAAACGAATCGAGAGGTTTACTGTGATGAAATAATAATACGGAGTGATAAAATGGCAGAGCTGACGATCCCGGGAACCACAGACGGGCCGATAAACCCTCAACGAATCACATACAACCTTCCTCGCCCGCACAGGAAGCGAGATACGAGAGAGATGTGCTTGTAAAACTTAATCCCTCCGGTCACTTTCCTTGTTTTTATGTTCCTTATTTAAGCTAATTTTAAAACGTTTTCAATAATTTTGTTGGTGAGAAATTTGATCCTAGTAGAAGTGTAGAACCAAATCATAGCTCTTTTACAAAAATAGTACATCCTAATATTTTTTCCATCCAAAAATTTGATCCTAGTAGAAACATATTTCTAACTTTCCAAATTTGCCCTTCAGGCTTTATGAAGTAAACCAATTCCGCCGACCTAGCTTCTTCCGCAGGAAGCCATCCTCCATAGTGAATTCACCGGAGGAGGTGGTGGTTGTCACGCCGGAAATCTGGAGCGGTGTCACCGGAGGCGGCTGCACGTCAAAGATCTGGAGCAGACTTGTCGGAGGCGGCTGTCACTAGCTTCGGAGGCGGTGACCGGAAGATGGAGGAGAGGCGGCGACCTAGCTTCGGAGGTGGAGACCTGAAGATGGAGCTGCGTGGATCTCGATTTGCGAAGGACAAATGGGAGAGTCAGGAGAAGATGGGTTCGGTTAGGATCCAGAGCAATTTTCTTTGTTTATTGTCTACTTATTGTCTATTTATTGTATATTTAATGTCTGTTATTTTTTAAAAGTAAAGTTATTGTGGTCAATGCAGGTGTAGTTTAGTCTTACGCTAATCTTCGGTCTTAGTTTTGGAAAATTTGTACGTTTTGGTCCTACTTGTTGAAATCTCCCTTTTGTTGGTACATGGTATAACGGTGTACATCTTAGTTTTTTTTATAATCTAGGTGTCAGGTTGCTCCTCCCATAATCCAACTTACATCACCTTTCAGGCTGCTCCTCCAACTTTACATCATTAGGAGCAAGACTTCTCTCACCGCTTTGGTGGGAAATGAACTCAAGAACTCCCACAAAGGAGAGACTTGGGGGTGGATGGTCATCCATTGGACTACACCCACCAACCCCATTAGTTTTCTGTTTACATCAAGCATTGATCAAACTTTCAAACAGTTTTTTTATCCATGTGGTGCTTGCGCTCCCCTAATCCTGTAGTCTATGAACTACCCTTCATAGCCCCTAGTCAGATAAATCCACCAAGCTTACATCACCATTCAGGCTGCTCCTCCTACCATACGAACACGCTACCTTTATTATCATTCTCTCTTTTCTCGGCCGTTGAGCAACTCCGTGAAGGTAGTCAGAATCATTAGGAGCAAGACCCCTCTCTCCTCCCCTAAATGTGTCTAGCGAGATTCGAACCTGAGACCTCCGCTAGGACACGGTAACCTCCCATCCAGTGAGCTGGAATGGTTGATTATAGTTTGTTATTATGTATTCGTATGGATGGACGCATTAATACCTTTCTCTTATTACTTTCTCAAATTTTATTTTATGAGTCCTACTTTGGTTTGGTACAATTATCAATAAAATAGTTGAAAAATTAAATGTTGTGATTAATGTTTGAATATAATAAAGTAAAATGTCGCAGACCACATTTTTTCGAAAAGGAAATGTGAAACTTATTTTGGGGTAATTCAAAAGGAAAGTAGGATAAGTAAAATCGAATGGAGGGAGTATGTATTTGCTCATGTTATGAATGTAACCCTAGCCCTCTTCTCCACACACACACACACACACACACACACATATATATATATATAGAGAGAGAGAGAGAAGACCCCATGAGAAGCCTATATTAGACTGAAAAATGAGAAGTCCTGGTTGTCTGATTAACTCGTCCGAATCGTTCGATTGCCTTATAACTACCGCACCATTAATGGCATATTTGTAAATTTCTTGAACTGTATATCTTTTCGTTAAATGGAATGTTTTTCGTCTCAGTCCGTCTCTCCCGACAATCTCATGTGTGGCAATCTGCAATTCCATGGCAGAGCAGTGTCATTGATGAGTTATAGGTTTATCACCTACGACGTCCGGTTAGTCCAGAGTCACACAAGATTGAAAGATCGATTTTTCGTGACGACGACTGGCCATAAAAGAGGGATCAAAGCTCTGAATCAACTTAGTTCTTCCCAATTTGAAGTACTAAACTCTTCCTCATTTGCGCTGAGAATTAATCTTACGTAGAAGGCAATGACGACCGGGCGTCCATGAGAGAAGCTCCAGATCAACAAGCAATTGACAGCAGGTTTCGAAATAAACTTTCTTACCTTTAGTATGAATTGCTTCAGATTTTTTATTGAAGATTTCATTTTAATTTCAAGTTGATTCACCTGCAAGATGTTTCAACAAAAATAATCAATCTCTAGTTCAATTATAATGTAACTTTTTAGTCTATCAAGTTTAAAATGAGTTATTCTTCCATTTGAGTCTATCAAATGTTCGATAATATGTATCAATGAGCTATGAATCTGCTTTTTACGATGTAACTTTTTCGTATATCAAAATTAAACTAAGTTATTTTTCCCTTTGCTTCTTTCAAGTGTTTGATATTATTTCTCATTGAGTCAAGATTAATCAGCAAGTAAAGATCCCAGAGTGTATTTTTGTTTAAGTAGAAATAGTAAAGTTCACCAAAGTCATTAAGGATCATATTTATGTTGGAATTGTCATGTTGTTATGATTAACGTTGTCTAATTTACATTAAAACTAAAGCACAAGTTTTATTTTCAGTTTTATTAACGTTGGCGATCATGATTGTGTACTGCACAAGCCCCATTAATCAATCACACTTTTTTGTGCTTTAATTGCTTCAAACATAGCAGTTATGGAATTGATCTCCTTTGGTATATTTTTTGATCCCAATAACATAATCCATATCCATTCCCCAAGTAATATATTATGCAGCACACCCAAAGCAACAAGATGTGCATGTTAAAAAAGGGAAACTGCATGCATTCAATTCACCCAAATGGGTTCCCAACAGGAGAGATTGTATTCTAGCCAGGGAAACTGCATTCAATTCACCAAGCTGCCGGTTTGAGTTCATGTCTGCAAAAGCAGCCCCCATGAAGGACATAGCCGGCAGAGTTATTTGGTCTCTGTGACAGGCTACCGCCAGGTGCTGGCTCATATATGAATTTGGAGGGAGTGCTGACACGTAAGATTGTGGCTGCTGAGGCGCACTGCTGTGTACATGGGAAGTTGGTGGGGCTCCAAGGCTGGATGTGTGGAGCAGGCCTGATGAATTGCCTGTGCTTGGCAGTGCACCTTGTAACGAAGCCACCAATGGAAACGTAGAAGATCATGAAGGAGATGGCTCACTGGTGGTGTCAAAGGATTTGATGATTTTATCGGGTGCATAGAAGTATGTGTCTGCTGATAAACATGTAAACTGTCTTTAATACTTTGCAGCAGCAGAGATTGGTAGATAACACTAAGAGGGGATCAGGCAACATGATACGTGAAGTTGTGTTGTGCATAGATACCATTTGCATATTATGATATTGCATGGAGAACCCATGTCCATGTGATGGAGTAACACACAAGCCTTGTACTAGTGCATACATGGATGGATAGGTTACAGTAAACAAATCTGCAGGAAGTTCTCTTCTCCCGCCAGATCTAGAATCACATACATGGGCAATTCTAGAAGTGGAATCCAAAGCATGCTCAGCTAAAACTTGACGACATTGGGCCCTTGTTGTGTCCAGAGTGGCTATGTTAGTTGTAATTCTAGTGTGTTTTACTTTTATTTCTAATGCAAATGATCAACCATGAGTTCTGAATAAAAGTTATGTCTTTTGAGTTAAGAGTTATAGTAATTTGAGTAAAAGTTGTGCCTTGATAGTGAATCTTAATGTGTAAACAATAATCTTAAGTTTTTAGTTAAGAGTTCATTCAATATTAAAAATTGCACTCATTCTCTTACAAGTTACTGTTAGTTTTTTATTACATTATTGATTCTCTTTTTTTCCTTTTCTGATGTTAAATGCTCTTTTTGGTGTCTAGTGTAATATATTATCAAGGCTATTAGCTCAAATGGTAGAGCAATGCGAAAATATGCACAAAGATGCGGGTTCGAGTCCCGCATAACCTATATACTTTTGCAGCTGCTAATTTTTTTCCTAGCTTTTTCCTTCTTTTTCTTTTTTCCACATTATCCGCTTTCTTTTTCCTCTTATGTCGCATCCACATACTTCTTTTCTTACCTTTTTTAAAAGCTTGTTGTGTGCACTATAATTCTATGAAGTATTTATACACTACCAAAGAACTTTTTTGGTACTAAGTTATATAGTGACAGTCCTGATGGCTGAAATCCTGCAGCAGATAGGCAAAAGAGCCTGTCTTTTAGCAACACGGGCACAACTACGTGCTTGCCGAACGCCCGTACATGCCAGCTTTGAGCGCCTTAGGCCCAACACATGACACCATCTTATCTACCATCTTCAACAAATGAGTCTGCTTCACCAAATCTCCGGCCTCTAGTAACTAGTTTGCTACCACTAATAGAGCTTTAATCATTACTTATAAAACTAAATGTAAGACTTTTAATTCACATTAACTTAAAAGATCAAAATCAACAATATAATTTATTTAAAGATAAAATAGACTTCAACAAACAATTATCACAAGTTCTATCATAAGAACTAGAGCACAATTATACAATAACTACTAACTTCCAAGTCACAAATATACACTTTAAATTGAAAAAATGATATGATAGAACTTCAAA